CTAGTTTCACACAAGGGGGAAATACTTATACAGAGCAGTAAACAATGCAGAACTGTCGATACAGTACGATCCTTTTTCAACAGTAGGTGTGCGTTCCAACTGCAGTATTGCACTGTGCTACATTGCCTTGTTGTTTTACCCTAGTGTGAAATATACGACTGCCGCCTGCCGCCTTCGTCGCTTTGTCTGATTTCTACTCATCTGGCTCTATATTGTGCATTTATTTATTGTTATTATAACTAATATTAGAGTTGATGGATTTCTATTAATTGCTACTTATAACCTATAATTTGATAAATTAAACTAAATCAAAAAGTGTTGAATCAACTAAATACCTTTAACGAAAGCTTTAAAATATAAGCCATGTTTTTGTTTTAGTCATATAATAATGTCCATTGTTACAGGTAAGCCGCTGTATTTTTCAACCGTATGTTGGCGCCTCTGTTCACCCTAGTTGGTTATTCAAAGCTGGAATCATTTTCGACAGTATATGTGAGGTTGATAGCATCATACTCACCGCAAACAAAATAATTTGGTTTGAGTTAAACATGAGTAGCTTTATATGAAATGTTCAAGATAATGGAAACGAGCTCTCGTGTGCAAGTGACAATGTCAATCAAAACATGACAGCTAATGTTGTGTTTGACGTGCAATGACAGACGCCTATAAATGACAGTTTCTAAAGAAAAATATATGGAAGCAGCACTTATAAAGTACAGCGGGAATTAAAATCATCTTTTGTGAATTTCTTGAATAAATTATTACTAGCTTTTGTTTTGGGTTTAAAAACATTGTTTCTTTGTTATAATAAAAAGTCCACTGTCCACTTTTAAATCAATCAATTAACAAAATGGCGGTTCAGAAAAAAATAAAAATGTGTTTCTAGTTTCTCTTTTCGTTTTCCTGTTAATTAACTAAAAAAACTTAAACATCTCCTTTTCAAACGTTTGAACATTTTAAAAAGTCAACTAAAAGTTGCCAGTCACAATTGTACCATTTAAAATAAATAACACTACAAAAAAAACTAAACAACCGAAAGTGGCAGCAAAAAAGTCGTCCTTTCACAAATTCGCGCGCATCGACTGACATTTGTCAATCAGTTCTCCCCGCGCCCGCGCCCGCCGCCGCTGTCAGCTGTCAATGACAATTAATGGCGTCCCATACAAAGTTTTATGGAGTTTATTGCTTCGATTGTGTGTAGACATGATTAATGTAATCACTAATGCAAATCCTCACAGCCGCAGCACGGACGCACGGCTTTGTATTTTCGTGTATTTCTATAAAAATTGATTTATTATTGCAGTTTTGCAGATACGGGGCTCTTCATAATGACCATGGGCGTCACTGAATGCGGGAACGGGATTGTCCGATGTGTGCATTTTGGATAGTTTTGTACGATTCCTTCGTTGAAAAATTGATACTTTGCAGACGTTTTAAATGTCACACAAATGGTGACACTGATGAATAATTCGTGCCATTAATTTTGTCGTTGGTCAATTCTAAATTTAAAATTTGTTAGACTAGATAATAACGTACTTTTGAAAATCGAGATTATAAACTACCGACTAATTGCCATTGATAAATTAATTACTTATAAGAGAAACAAGTTACACACGTAATTAATTTAACTACAATAAAGAGGTCTTTTAATTAGTCGTATAATAAAATCAGTCGACCAACGATAAAAAAGAAATTATTTTAGATTTATCATATGAAAAACCTTAAAAAAATATAAATAACGCTCCAAAAACTCCACCGACCCTTTCCTATAACGAATGTCACAATTTCATTAACCGTGCGGCGTCGCCTCGCATCAGCGTCACGTCAACGTCACGTCACTGTCACGTCAACGTCAAGTCAGCTGTCACGTCAGTTGACAGACGTCGTTCACCTGCCAGCCTGCGGAGCGACAGATTGTTAATTAGAGAATAACCTAACCAGTCACTGCCAAGAAAGTACAGTTTTTGTAATAAAATTAATAAATTCATACTATTGAGTTCTAAATTGTATAAAACGAAATATAAAAAGTTCTGTGTTTTCAAAAAGACTTAATAAATAAGGTTTGTTTGCATGTAAAGGTACAGTCGCACACACTAGACATATCAAACTAGATCGTACCGAATTTAAATTAGCGCATCAATGACTTTGAGGCATGCACAGACAAATTGTTTGTTGTGGAGAAATATCTCAATAAATTAAAATCGTCATTAATTCCACGTTGTAAGATGTCGTCCGTATAATCAACTCGACCAACAGCTGCGAGTGATTAAGAATCGAAATAGATGGTAACAAATCGATTCTTTTCTCGCTAAAACGCTCCCGCAAACATTTTACTATTTTAGTTTGAGTGATATATCGCTGAGATTTCGTGTCAGATATTTGTCAAACGCGAGACGAGCGCAGAGGGGACGTTCGGTATACACATCGGCTTTGTCGCGCTGCAAATAAAGCATTTTGACACAAAGATACACTGTTCAAGATGTTTAAATTTAATAATTAAATGAAACAACATGCATAAAATGTGTTATTGAAGGAACGCACTTATCACGACCATAAAACTCATCAGCGACAAATGATTATTATAATCGTATTATTAATGAATATCAATCAGTCATCAGGTAGTGTAAATCTATTGACAGGTGTTAGGTACGTGAGAGTGTACGCAAAAATAATCCTTATTGAAATACACTTACAAAGAACTTATGTACCATAATGGTTTGCATACAATATAATACTGATCAGATAATCATGACAGAAGACCAGTGACTTAGTCCATCGGCGATGAAAATGCGAGTCGAGTGAGGCGTCGCTTATCAGTTGAGACAACGATTATGACGTTGGTTTAATATTTCAGATAACTTTGATTAGTTGCTCATTTATATAGCTTTCGTGTGTTTTTAAAAACAACATTTATTGGATTACCTACGATATTATAAAACATAGTGCATCAGCATGATATTCCGTACAGTCCTTGCTGACTGATATCTGATAGCAAAATTTAAGTTGTTTTTATGAATATAAACAAAAAAATAAATAGAAAATTTAGCAGACAATCTTACGTCATCTAAAAGTGTTTTTAGTGTCAAAATTGTGTTGCGAACGAAGTTTAAAAAGGTATGTAAATACAAAGATAGAGGTAGACTTCGGTCTTCGTGACGATGAGTGGATTATGTGAAAGAAGATATGCGTAAGAAGAGAGTGAATTCAGATATGAAAGCTGACAGAGATATATAAAGAGTAGTAAGTATTTTATCTACGAAGATGACGAAGCATTCCAACATTTAGCAAAGAAAATGCTCATTATAACACGTGTAAATCTTTTAGTTGCATGCGTACATAGGTATATTAAAATATGCGTATCATATAAATAAGTATAAACTCATGATTGATGGATTACGTTTGATTAATCATTGCAGTCACCAACGACTGATATACTAAGTCAACTGACTTCGTAAATATTATCTTCATTATCAGAGATTTGTTTAATATTTCCGTTTCTACAAGTACACGCGTACGTTTCCATCTGCTTGAGCTTGTTGCTTACCGTTTTGAAATATCATAGCTGAGAAACTTTCTTTACTACATTAGTCAATTTAGTTATTGCTATGATAAAAATGTCATGTAAATTGACGATGATAAGATCAATAACTAAAACAGTTTGCTGTATCGTGTCTATAATAAACATACTC